AAACCGTGTGATGTTGGTGGGTGCTCAGGTGTTGTTTGATCCTTGTTTCCTATCAAACATGTATCGCCCTTACCTCTCCTCCTGAATTTGTGTATGCTACCTTCTTGTAACACCTCTAATCTTCGGCTCTTGTATGACCTTATTATGTTGCAAGTGCCGTACGATTTTTGCTGGAAAATAAAACAACAAACACCCAAACCAAACCAAAACAGAACAACAACAACAACAGCAGAAATAATAACAACAACAACAACAACAACTTCGACAACGACTGTGGAATATAATAAATAGGTTTAACTTAAACTATTGTGTCGCAATTCCGAGTAATCAGGTGCTCATCACTTTCTGAGGATATAGAGCTTTTTGGATCCCTTTAAAGCGGGTTTATTTGTCTTGCTTTTAACTTTTAATGGAAAACATGCCGATGTACTTTGAGCATAAGCAGAGATATTATATAAAGTTTGCGATTGAAGAAGGTGGGGTTCGCCTGATTTCGGAGGAAAAAAATAGTGAGAAAATGGCCGCCTAAGTTTGATGACTTCCAAAGCTTGAGAGTCAGTGGAAAATGTAAATTTACTTTTTTTCTTGTGCCTGTGATCAAAATTCTTCAGTAAAGTCCACTCAGAAAATTGTGTTTAGATGGGCATGAAAGGTGTTGAGGAAAAAAAGTAATTGAAAAAAATCGCTCTACGGGAAAAAATCCGTTTTTTTATTTTAAATTTCATTATTTTGACGAAGGCCTGATTCCAATACGATGCAAAATAAATGATGGAGGAAAACAGAAGGAGACCACAGCCACGTAAACTTCAGTTGCAAAAGATTCCGAGTTAGAGCCTTGTTATTGTGAGCTCTTAGTATGAAGTTGAGCTTGTTCACAGTCAATTATATTATTATGGCCCCTGGCCTGGACTTTAGAAATGCGTCTTCAAGACAACCCTATTGTTATCATTATAATAATTCCTTTCTTTTTCCGACTGGTGGGGACGGGGTTGCTGTTCTTTGTTCGGCTAGACGCTATGATGATGGGAGGGAAAAAAAAGTCCTGAATTTCATCACAATTTCTCTTCAAATATCAAAGGAAACAGATTATTAGTATTATCTAAGTCACTCTCAAGTATGAGAGCCAAGGCTCTTGATATTTCGAAATGAGCGTGTAAAGTAGGTCTACAAGGACATAACTGAACATAATATGTACTTTTAGAAATGACTACACTATCATACCCAACCACTTAGCTAATTGTGAACTAACTGAAAAAGAACGTCTGGTATTTTTTGGGATTATGTGAGTACGAACTGACCTCTGTATTGTGAAAAAATGAATCCGATCAACATTTAAAAAAAAGGTGGCAGACTTGATAGGATAATAACCACTATTTCGGTTACCAGTATATTTGGTTTTTTTCATGTTTCAGTATTGATAGTTCAATTGTGAAATATCAAAGCCTTGAGAATATCAGTGCTATCGTTTGCTGATTATTTCCCCATCAGAGATCAACGTATCTTCGGGAAAATGAAGAGAGTAGAACATTAAGAGCAAGAAAAAAGGAGTGGATCTGCATTTTCAAGAACCCCTGGGTCTCTTGATTGTTTCAATAATACATGCTCCCGTTCAAATGTTTCAGAGGCCATTAACTGTAGAATGGTAAAAATTATTAAGTCCAAAAGATAGTACAAGTAAAAACGAATGAATAGGAAGAGGAGAATGTTGAGAAATGAGAGCAGGTAACGGGTAAGAAGAAAGTAACGTCTTCGTGTAGATTTAGAAGAACGCATTAATATTATATTGATTACAGTTATTCAGTTGAGGCGAAAAGGAAAGATGAAAACCATCAAGGAACAGTAGTAAACAAGAAAAGCCATCAACGGTACCGTATAACCACCCAAAAAAAGAAACAGAAAACTTTTGAAAACACAGGGTGCGTTGTACCTTCGCGACGCAAAAAAGATAAAGAAGTCGACATTGGTGTGTAAAAACCTATTAACCTTAATCTGATTGGAGCCGTTGGAGCAGTGACAAGTTAACAGCCCGTAAACCTCACTCCCCCCCCCCCCCCCCCCAAACACTCACACCCACACTCCCGCACACCCACCCAAGCCCCTCTCCCCAGAAGCTACTTACCGAAATCATCCCCACAGACCAACCGAAAGCGAAGTAGCCGCGATATGACGTTAAGACATACTCATTGAACGAGTAGCGACCAAGTGCAAGACGTTTCTGGTTTTACAGCAGTTTTACTTCTGTCTAGACTTCAGAGGCTTTGTTGTCAGACTAGGGACTTGTTCGAAATCGGTGACTGCGCTAAAGTGATTTGGTAAGTGCTAAGGCTATTCTTGTGATGCGGCTGTGGCTGATTCATCCCCCGAGCCGTGCCATGCAAACAGATACGTGTCCAACGATAGGGGAGGTGAGCAGGTTTCTTTTTTCTACTACAAGTACGATGGACTTTGCTGTCTTGATTCTATCGGTTTACTTCCCACTCTTTAGGCCGACAAGTAGGAAGAACTCATTAGGTTTGGATTCCTGAAAAAACCTCTCGCATGTTGGAGCAAACAGAGAAAGAGAGAGAGAGAGAGAGAGAGAGAGAGAGAGT